CTGGCCCCAGTACTGACCCTTGGGGCACTGCCAAATCCCAGTCTTCTCCAGATTTAACTCTGCTTCCAGGGTAACTAGGACCTTTTATTAAAAGCTCATGTATCTTTTCAATTTATTTGTTATCCAAGTCTGATATACAACTTCTACTGATCTGTCTGGCAGCGTCTTAACAAGAATTTCACTGTGCATATTGGTAGTGTACAATGTACATGCTTTTGTAAAGCATGATTTGGATAAAGACATTGAATCCTACTGTGACCATAGCTGTGTTCATGGTCAGATGTGTTCTGATTCTCTGGAGAAATTTTAATTAAACTCATTATTAGACTCATCTTATTTTGTCCAACATGCTAAGGTTTATTTTTTGTTTAAAGCAGAATTTTTACATTGTGACTGACTTTAAAATAGTAAATCCTGAAAGTAACTTGGCTGAGGAAAATACAGAGAGGCAAACTAAATGTCTGAAGAAATCCTTTATCCATTACAAGTTAGTGGTCCTTGTGCCAGCCTTAGTTTTAATTCTTTATTTATTTAATACAAAGTGGTGTCAAGCCTCCCAAATGCAGCAATTATGAAAACTGCCAGATGAATCAGAGGGAACAGGAGGCACTTGAGTCCTGAACTGCCTTTTCATTAAATCACACTTAATTATTACCATCATCAGTTTGAAGCTTACTGCAAAACAAAGAACTGAGGTCACCATCACTTTCTCTAGAGGTCCAGTCCCCAAAATGCTTTGGTGTAAAAGTGTAGCAGACTTTCTGGTTTGAGTATCAAAGCTGCAAACAAAAGGCCTGACACTGAGCTGTGTGACATTGCTGTCATATCAAGAGAAAACGCTCGTGCAGTGATTATAAGGAAGACTGAAGAACTGGATGAAATTTCTGGGCAAGGAGGAAGCCCTGTAAGCCCTGTATCTGAGTGCAGTTATGTTAAATCCACGCCATGTTAAAAGCCCATCTGATAGGGTGTTGACAGCGCTACCAGAACACACATTTCAGTGTGAAAGTCTCTCTGTAACATTGACTTACATTTATTCTGTGCCAGACTGCACTGTTTGTGAGCTTCCTTTTAGCAATGGTGTGCTTTCAGGGCATTAGGAGACAGTGTGTCAAACACAAGACTGTTGCTGCCATTAAGTAACTACTTGTCTTTATCGCACAGCTAACGATGCCTGTGCCTGGCTCCCAGCTCCCTCTGCCCCGCTACGGCTCTGGCCAGCAGCCCCTGATTCTACCACAGTCCATCCAGCTCCCTCAGGGGCAGAACCTGCCTGTAGGAGCTCCCCGAAGAATCCTCCCTCCTGGATCCCAGCCTTCTGTTCTTGCTACCAGCAGGGAGGTAAGGATTAACTCCTGCATGTCCATCTTGGCATTCATTAACCCTTCCTGCATTGAAATTTTGTCCCTTATTCTTGCTTATTAAAGGGGAGACTGGCTTGTTTGGGATCCTTAAGTATCAAAGCCAAGGACTGGTGTTAAATTGTAGGAGCCCTTTTCCCCTCATCTCCAAAGCACAGGCCAGCAGTTTTTCAGGTTTTGCTGCTGGTCATCATTCTGTTTCCAGGGAGCCACGTCCTGCCTTGATCCAGTTTGGAGTCTCCAGTTTTATTACATGTTTACACAGGTTTCCCCAGAGTGCTTGAGGGGTGGTGAGCTCCAGACACAGTTGGAATACTGCCCAGATATTTCACACTCTTGTGAAGCTTGTCCATTTGAGTAGGTATATTAATGTCGTGTCTGGTTTGATGGATTCATATCATAAGTTTGTCTATTACAGGGGAGAGAGAGCACAGCAGTTTAATTTCCAGGTTCTGTGTTTGCTTGTGCTGTTGGCTTGGTTTAATACAAGCAGATTATTACACTTACAAGCCTCACTTTCTTCACCTGAAATACGTTTCTTCTTTTAATGGGCACAATGGGTAGAAGGGCAAAGATTTGTCTTAAGTGTTTCTATGAAGTAATGAGTGCTCTGTGAATGCAGAGCTGATACTCACTCTCACTCATTTTCCTCTGTAGTCCTCCCAAATGGAAATGAAAGGTTTTCATTTCTCCGATGGGAAACAGAGTATGTCCTCTGGAGCATCTGTACCATCACCACATACGTACAGGTAAAACGATTACAGAACTTAGCCTCTGTAGTCAGAATGGGGAAGAAGTAGTGTTGCCCATCTGCAGTGACATGGTGCATGCATAATCCCTGTACAAGTTTCACTGGGGTTTTCATATGTAGAGTGTGCTTACTGTAGAACAAATACTTGTATCAAAATCCATGATCGTGGCTCTCATTTTTGGATGTGGACCAGTGTGTATCTGACACGGCCCTTTGTGCTTGTGGGAAGTGCATAAGGTTACTGGTTTGCTGGGTCTGAAAAAGAAATTGGAGTTGGTGTGTGTTTTTGTGTGTTCCTTGTTAATATGGAAAGTTTGAGGATCATTGAATAAATGTTTAGTTTCCAGCAGGGCCCTCACAAGATGAGGTGCTAATGTCGAGATATACCAAACCTTCAGGTCGTTGGGAATTTTGAGACATGCAGTTACTTTATTGTTTCTCCTAACCAATCCATGTGTTCTCTTTTGGGCTGGGAAGCTCACTGATCCGCACAGCATGGACTCATGCCCTGTGTACTGCTGCTTTTTTGCTGTCGTCTTTCACACATGAATAAGGTTCTCATTCCATTGTAGAATTTACTCCATGAATGTTGTCGACTCTTCGATTTCCAGGCCTAGCTCTGCCAGCCCAAGCGGGAAGCCGTCTGGACCAGCAGTTAGTATGGGCTCTGTGCAAGGACACTATGTACAACAGGTAGTGTACGTCAGTACTTAGACCCAGTATCTGCTCTTCTGTACTGTCACAACTGTGCCTTGGACTTCAGAGGAGTGGCAGAAAGGCCTTAAGCTGTATGTGGGATTCCCTGCTGGGAGAGTAGATGTGTGGGTTATGCTGAGTCCAAGAGTAATGCTCTGTGATTTGAAGGGCAGGAGAGATTAAAGGATTACCTGTTTTACAGTGTCCATGTTGGGGTTTTCTGTTGAGTTTTTAAGAATTATTTGCATTGCTAGACATGAGAGACTTTGAGATCCTGCCTGGGAGGTGTTTTAGCACAGCATAGTGTGACAGAATAGAAGAAACACCTGATTTTTGGAGCAAATTTGATGTATTGCATGAATGATGGGGACAGTTTGTTTTTATGTTTGCCTAGAGATCTCTGTGCTAGCTAATGCTTTGTTTTTGTATGTCTAAAGGCAAAGCAGCGGGTGGATGAAAATAAAGCCAACCTGGGAGCAGTGAAGCTGCAAGAAACAGCCTCCACAAACCAGATGAAGCCAGTGCGCACAGGAGCGATCAAACCTCAGGCAGTCAAAGTGGAGGAAAGCAAGGCCTAGGAGAACTTCTGATGCCCAGCTGGTCCCGCCGCCTGAGAGGCACTGCAGCTTAGACTGGACCCCACTGGATCTCCTGAAAATCTCACCAGATCTACTCCCTGCCCCACACTGACTGACTACAGCAACATCATCCAAGCTCCTCTCCCAACAAAGCAGTTTGAAACAGTGGATATGACATTGACCTGCTTGCTTTAAAACAAACCAACCATGTGACTTTTAAGTGGCTCGAGCCATTTTTTTATTTTATCCCACCCTCCATGCCCCATCCCCAGGTAGCTGTGATTGCTCACTTGGCAAAGCCCATCTTTCTCCTTCCCTACTTGTGTCTCAGCAGAGTGGCAACTGTGGGAGAGGGGTTAGTTTGAGGTTTTTCATTTTAAAGGCAGCTGAGGTTTTTACAAGAAAAAGCTATATCTTTGTTTATAGCAGAACTTTTATATGTTCTCTCATTTTTCTGCCCCCCTTCTTTCTGCTTTCCTCATTCCTTCTCGAAAGGAATTTCCTTCAGCTAAAATTATGTTCTGACAAAGCTCTGCTCAGTTTTATATAGAGTTCTGTGCTATGTTGAGAATCCTGACTCTTCTAAATTGAATTTATTTGGGTATATTTTCCCCAGATTATTTACCCTTTCAGGTTATTTCATGTTAAAAAAGGACAGTTACGCCATTCATTAGTTTTTCAGTATTTTTGTTTTAAGCTAGAAGCAGTGCTTACTTAGAAGTAAACGTGTACTAAAGGTATGTAGTAGATCAGTGCAATTATCTTGAAACTTGCACCGCTTTAATTGTAGCTTTGGGGTGCCTTGTGCACAACAAAATGTGACGTTTTCATTTTTAGGAAAAAACCCACCAAATTTTTGTGCAATCTCATCTGGATCTAGGCTGGGGGGGGGTTTGTGGGTTTGGGATTTTCTAATGACTGCCAAACACACAATGAAGTGCAAATCATAAATTTATTTACAAAGTGTAAAATCTGATAAGAAAAATCTCCTCACTGCACATGGGTCAGAAGAGTTGGCGAGAGCCAACGGGTCTGTATGGACTACATTTTGTAGTTGTGATGCTCTCTTATGCTCCCTACCTTGGCCGCTCTATTTCTTCATGTCTCCTGAGACTTGTTCTGTGCTGTGTTCATCCCTTGGGGCTGCTCTCCTAAGCTTTGCTCTTCTCCCTTTTCCCTAGGTCTTGCTTTCTGTTCCACTAACTCATGGCCTTTTGTAAAACTTGCATAGAAACGCATTGGTAAGGGAGCCCCTCTGTGAGGCAGCTGTTTTGGCACACCTGGAACCTCCTCTTTTTATGTTGGAAGCACATGGTTACGGGGCAGTTTGGAATCATCCTTTTACTCTCCTTCTCCAGAAAAACAGCAAAGAGTTCTTCACTTTTGGTGCAGTCACATATAATGTATATATGGTCTCATCACCTTTTGCTTTCTTACCAATATTTGATGATCTATGGAAAGGAAGATCCCAGTGGGAGGGGGTTGGGTTTTATTTCTTGGGTGGTTTGGTTTTGGTTTATGTGCGTGCATGTGTGTGTAGATTTTTAGGATGGACTTACAAGTTCCTGAAAGTGCTTGGAGTCCCTCAGCTGTCAGTAGTCTTACGTTAACTACTTTCAGCTAGCTTGGTTTGTGTTGTTTAACTCTCTCAAAATGTAAAGTAGGCTGGTCACTCTGAAGTGAGGGAAAGAAAATTTCATTTTTGCAGGAGGTGGTAGCTTGCTAACTGGCTGTGCCACCTGCCTCTGCTAGGTGGCAGCAAGTCATTTGGTGGTGGTTCCAAAGAAGATATTTTGAACAAAGAATGTATCTGGGAAGGGAACTGAAAGGTGTTCTTGTTTCTTTGTTTGCTCCCCCCCCCAAAAAAAAACCCCCCCTTTCTGGGAAAGATCCTTCATATCTTTCTAGGGATGCATTTGGAGTTTTAAGCTAGGTATAAATAAGACTTTTATACAGTAGCTTTAAAGAGCTTAGAAACCTAAACTAACTTAGATGTAGTAATGTCCCTTCTCCACAGGTGTCCCTATGGACCACGGCAGAGAACCTGAAGGGAAAGGGATAGGATGGTACTTTAAGAAAAATAAAGCTCCTTTTTTTTTTTCCTCATGTCTCATGGATTTTAAACTTCAGAGCAGAGTGTGCCAGCATCTCTCTAGCATCCTCCTTCAAGTGCAGGGTTTGAGATTTAGTGACAAATATTTCCCTAGCCTTCAGACATCTCCCAGACCTGCATCCTCGTCTGCTAGTCCTGCTCCCAACATTTTCCAAAGATTGCTCCACCAGTAAGTCATCCCACCCCCCCTTTCTGTTTTCTTCCTTAGAATATCATGAACAACAGAATTGTCTGGTTTTTCTTTTTTCTTTTTTGAATTACCCTTCTGCCCAGCTGGCCCTAGCTAATATCAGCCCAGAATCTAACTGTAATGGCTAAAGAGACTTACCTGAGTCCCCCTCTTCTCATCTGTTTCCTACCCCAGACTCACTACTTAAGCTTTACAAAGACACTAGCCTCTTTCCTCCGCATAGATGCCTTTAAAGTGGTCAAATGTGTTGGAGGAACCGGGTTATTGCTAGATACAAGTTACTGCAGTCCCTCTGGTGTAAATGCCATCAGAACTACAATACTTCCTGTCGATAAAAGGTCACCCTTCTTTCTCTTTTAACCCCTCCATTCCTTCCCCCAACAGAATAAAACACTAGAATTTATTTATACGTATTTGATGTTGTAGGTCTAGGTGAAAAAGTAATTGTTTCACTGCTCTATTTATATATTATGTCTGAATTATTCTGTGCAGGAAAGGCCAAGAAATGCATGTGAGCTTCATTCCATTCCTCACCTTTGTGTGACTGTCAGCTGCAGTTGGCAAGACTCTTTCACTTGGAGTTTTTTGTAATGGAAAGCAGTTTTAGAGCCCAAATTTCTAAGGTGCAATATCCTTCTTCTCTGGCATATGTTTTTGTTTGTTTGTTTAAACCTAGTACAAGGTTAGTGCAGTTCGTGTGCTCTTGACTCAAAAGGAAAGTCTGATCCTCAAGGTGCGGAAATGCCAAGGATGCTGGTACGCTGATAGTAAATCAGCCTGGGGAAGAGGAGAATGGAGATGCATTAGTGTGGATACGGTTGATAGGGGGATACTTCTGCTTGCTGTCTCTACTGCTGAAGGATCAGGCCCTAATGATTTAATTCTTTGTGAGTTGCTTTTGCTTTGACTGGAAATCAGCTAGCAAATTGCAGGCTCCTGCTAGGAAAGGTGCAGTGTGCAGTGGGAGGGAGAGGTGGAATCCATATTTTCAGCAACAATGGGTGAAGCAGAAATATTCAGAGGCCGACTTTGCTGCTTTTTGTTCAGCTGCAGGTCTGAAGCATGTGTGTAATCAGTTCTTTTACATGCAGTGATTCATGGCCTCGCAGCTGCATTCAGTGCTACTTTCCTTTCCGGTTCAGCCTGCTTTTAGCTCTTAGTTTAAAAGAAAAATATTAAAAAATAAAGAAATTGAAGTTAGGGAAGGAAAAAAGGAAGAAAAAAAAAAAGTGCTCCAGTATATTTTTAAATAAGTGGAAGCAGCACAGTCACCAGTGAAACAGGTATTACTGTTGATCTTCCATAATTCGCTCCTGGCTCTGCCGTGACAGCTGTACAGTCGTCAGTAACTCTGAATGTGTTTGCAGCCCATTGAACTCCATACGTGTTTGTGTTCATGCAGAGGCACTCCATTTAACAGTTTCCTTGCAAGAATGCTGCAAAGCTACAAGCTGCCCTGTGGTTCCTGTGTATTTATAGATACGTATTAAAAAATGAGCCTAGCATTTTTGCTACGTCTCACCTTTTGGCAGGCTACTATGTTCACTTTCAAGCGAGCACCACTGCATGCCAAGATCTTGTTCTGTTGCATTTTGCTAACCGTCCATTTTGCTTCTGACTGGTTAAGCACAGGTCAATTCCTTGTAGTGTGGATTATTTTTGAGGTACTGCAGCCCGGTTTCCTTGTAAGAAAGATACATTTGTGATTAAGAATTAATTTACAGCAGGCATCAGATACTTAGTTGTGGCCCATCAACAGAAAAGGTGCATTTTGCTGAAGCAGTGGAACTGCTGGCTGTGAAGCCGCAGCAGCAGTCCAGCTATGGGTTTTTGTTGTTGTTTTCTGTTTTAATCCAATGACCACCAGATTTTCCTAGTGGCCATAGACACCCCCTTGGGTTTAACGGCTTGTCCCAGCTCCTCAAGATGTCTGCAGCCACAACCTTGGCCGTTCCCCGGGGAATCACAGCAGCAGCAGTGAGGCGCTCACCCTTTAGCATGTCTTGAGGCATTGTCCTTAGCTGGAATCCTTCCTCTGGTTCTGTATAGATCGCATTTGTTGTTTCTCAAGGGGATAATGTACTCCTTAAAGCTTTTAACTTCATGACCTGTATAGTACTTTTTTTTTTTGGCCTTTCCTCTCTTTGTCTTTTCATGTAGACCAGATATTTGAAAGGGCAGACGATGGATAATTGTGTAACGTGCAACCTGTTTATATTTTTTGGAAACTTTTACTTGGACTGGAACTCGAATCACGGAATCACCAGGCCAGTTGCGGCACACTCTTTATTGCCCTTTTTCCTCGTTTCAGTACCTATTGTTTCTCCTTTCAAATATGTGATTGTATTAGCTCTTTCCATATGAAAGAATTCTCCTTATTTAATTAAAAAAAAAATAAAGCAGATTATGCTTTTCTCAAATTTCCAAGCCCCTTGTCTGGATCTTTTGGTTAAAGACTTGGTTTGTGGGTTTTGGTTTCGGTTTTGTTGAATGAAGGTTTCTAAAGCCCAGATGTGCGTCGCCAGGCTATGCCAGG